AGAGTGATCCAATAAAACAGAGATGAAATGCTGATATTAGCTGAATGCCGCTGGTCTTGGTACAGTGCATTCTTTGTATTCAGCAGTGAATATTTCATCCTTCCCAGGTGTAAAATCTTCCCAGCAGCGCTATAAGGCAGATTTATTACAAATTACAAAATTAATGATTTAGTTCTATCGTAATGCAGCTTCTGGGCTCCCAACAGGAACTTAAACAGTTAGCAGACATCATCTATGCTGGCTACAGTGTGATCTCCAAATCAATCTTGATCTCTTCAGAAAAATCTTGGGAGTGGCTGCTTTTTTTTTCCTTTAGCTGTCTCTCACCCATACAGATGTTAGAAGCTAGCACTTGTAGGTATGGAGAGACATGGAAACCTGACAGAAATACCAGGAATATCTGTGTAAGAGTTGGAGTAAATTGGGCATGGTGACTGCCTCAGGTATGAAGGCACTAGGAAACAAAATGGATTTGTTTGCATTTCATGTATATGGGTAATCTTAAGGGCTCCAAGAACACACAATATTTCAGTGATTGTAGGTGTGCCTTGGATTAATGAAAAAAAAATCCATTTGAACTATCTGGCATTCATAACAATATATCATCTTCTGACAGATTTAACCCTTTTTACTGTCTGAGCCGCTGATTACTTTGTCTGAAATGTGGGGTTTGCACCACACACAGAGAGCTCAGTCCTGACCAGAGCCTTTAGGCAGTTTTATTATCTGTATAAAGAACTAATTTCCAAAGTCTACAGCTGTTTTTGCAGCTCATGAAAAGATCTCTGTGAGGTGACCTGTGCAGAATAACACATTTCAGCATCATGGCTCCCTTTTCACTACAGATATCAAACAACCTGAATTCTCTTACGTCTACTATGCAATTGTCAAAGGATGAAAACCAGTTTTTTGGCAATCAATCAGCAGAGAAAACTCTGCAGACCAACATGTAAGGGAAGCTGTGTAAAGCATTTAACACGTGGCACATGCTGCTGCTCTAGTATTTGTCCTGTTGCTTCTGGTCTAACTTCCTAGCAATGACAGGACTTGCAGGAGGGACTCACATGATACCTGGTGCATGGCATGCGTGATGTTGGCCATTTATTCCCTTTTTTTATTTTTCTGGGTTGCACTGGAGTGGTTCTGGAGAACCACTCTAGATTTTCATTTTTTAAAATCCTTTTCCTTCTGTTTACAACTCATTTCTGGGAGCACTCGAGAGGAATGAAGGGAACAAGATGCAGATTTTCTAGCTGCAGCATGACTGCTGCAGTTAGATATGTCTTGATGCTTGGGAGCTATTGCAGATACATGAATAAGTCCCACTAATCCACAGTCCTAATTTCAAGTGATAAAATATCACTACATAGCCGTTTTGCAAGTGTACTGAATTTGTCCTCAGTTTAGTTGGCAAAGTTCTGCTAAAAAAACGGAATTCTGCTAGAGGGTCAGGTTTTGTTGAATAACAAATCTGATTTTGACAGAAATATTTACATTTTTCAATGGCTAAAAGTCCATCCAACCATCCATTTGGTTGTTTTCAATAATTAAAAAGATGACAATTCAATAATGTAAAATTTTTGATTAATTTTTGGAAGTTTCATTGAAGGGTGTGTTTTTCAAGAAAGATTCAAAAGATCCCTGACTATTTCCAGTTAAAATTACCAAACTGCTGTGAAGAATTATCATCAGCTCATCAAATGGAGTCTGGTGATTTTTTTTTTTCTAATTCTGTCTCTGTTGTTACTTTTCTAAAACTAACTCACTCCCTTTTTTCTCTTGTATTTGCTTTACATCTAACATTATTACATTTTGTTTCAGCTGGCGGGCTTCATCTATGCCTGTTATGTTGTGAAATGTATTACTGAAGAAGAGGACAGCTGTAAGTACTAAAGCTTTATTACATACAAAATGAATTCTTTTTTTTTAAATCACCACACACACACACAATACTGACTTTTGCTGACTTCAACCTAAATGCCTTATTATACTGTAACCAGAATATGCTTTCTGTCCATCCTTCTGGATCTAAAGTTTGTGAATGCCTGAAAGACAAAGGAGTCCTGAAATACAGCTTAAAAAATACATAGTCCTTTTTTCTGAATTCTTTTTTTCTCACAGCTTCAGACATAAAAAAAATTAGAATCCCAACTTGTAAAGAAGCTTTGTTTTTATTCCTTATTCCTTATTCCATGTTGTTATGACTATCTTCACAGTAATTGGTTACCACTGAGGCTATAGCTCTTCTGTGTTGTCTTGCACGTTGGCTTGTTAAAGCACTTTTGGCCAAAAATAGCTTTAGTTCCATTCAGGACCTTCATTTATGAGAGGTGAAATTGTGATGCTCCTCTTTGCTCCTGCTGCTCCCAGAACAATTACAAGGAATTAAATGATTTCATATAGATGTACATCTGTGTTTCTTCTGGTTATTTATATCAACAGATGCCTGTTGAGTGAAATTTACTCTTATTACATGCTATGAAGTCAAGACATTTAGTTTTTTTCTTTCTTCTAAACTTGATTTTTTAAAAAGGGCCACTGCAGCATGTCAGTGTATCTTGGGATTCATACTAAAGCACCTTAGAAACAAGTATCAGAATTGCATGTAACTTTGATAAAATATACATGAATCCTAGAGAGAGCTCTGCAATAGGAAGCTGAAGGGTTTTTACTTGATTGAGAGCACTGCTAGGGCTGGTGGGGGTTCCTTTGTGTATTCTCCTGCGTAGAAAATAGCTGCAACCGTATAATCTATTGGCAATACAGTGCCACTGTGAGCCGTCAAGGGGAGATATAATGCCGAAATCAAACCACTCTTCAGAGGTCTTTCTGACTATGCTCATTTCAGTTGTCTTTGTGTTTCTGTGGAGGCAAGGAAGGCGTAAGAGTAAAAAGGGTTTGGAACAGGCACGTTGAGTAGGGGTATGTCACAAATAGATCTCGTCTTTTTAGGGAAGGACCCAATCATATGTACTTTCCCATTAAATGCATTCACTGATGGCAGAGCTGGAGGATAGCAACTCCTTGCCCCCCAAAATGAAATCCTGTTTAATACTATTTTGCCCTCTCTTCTATGGGCTTAAATCTTTTTTTCACTCTTCTGTAATGCTTTAGGGAATGATATTAGTAAAAAGCAAGGAAGGGACTTGGCTCACAAAACAAGCACAGAAATAAGAGCACATTTGAAAGATTTTTCCAGTGATCTGTAAAGCCACATTCCTGACAGCAAAGTGCCATGGCCAGTATGGTATTTTTTTCTGCTCACTGCAGCAGGAGCTCCCTGTTGTTCAGAAGCCATGGATTGTCATGCTTTGAAATTTTTCTTGCTGTTGTCTTGCCTATTTTGAGGCTTTTATTACTTTCTTAGTACATCTCAGACAGGCCTCCTCTTCTAGCAAAAGAGCCATCTTACCTCCCTCTGAGGTACCGGTGTGAATCCCCACCCAGTACAATAAAGCCAACGCAAGTTCAGGCACTGCAGCATCACCTCTAGTGAGGTTTGGAAGCGTGGCTGGGAAAAGAGAAAAAGGGAACTCCAGTGGCTGATTTGTCCCAACACTGTAATAATGCTCAGATCAGATTTGGCCTCCCAAAGTTTTGTAAAATTAAAGCAGCTTTAATTTCTACTGAAAGGCTGCATGTAGCAGAAAGTAAGAATTATTCTCTCTGTTCAGCCATCCACTCTGACATGTGCCAAGTGCTCCCTGTGGCAGCCAGCGGCTATGGTCCATACAAATACCCACTGCTCAGGGTTAATTTTAGATTCTTTTATTTCCATTTAGATACATTTTCTCTCCCTTTCTCTCCCTTTTGGCAACACACCCATTTATCCTGCTTCTCTGAGAAATAATATATACCTTATGAATGCCACATTATTTACTGTTTATACTCCAGAAGAAGACGCCTAAGCATAATTTCCTCAGTACATTCACAGGTGGGGTCATCTCATGTAGACCAAGTGAGTGAGAAGGAGAAAAGCTTTCAGGAAACATGGAATATATCCCAGAACCATTGCTAGAGCTTCCTGCATATGCAAGTCTTTGGTCTGAGATCACTTCAGATCCCCTATTGTGTTTCTCTTCCCATAGCCTTTTTTTCCATTTTTCCAGGTCCTCACCCCTTCATGCTGCTGTGGAGTAAGCTGTGTGGCACAAAGGGATGAAGACAGCCCTCCTGCCCATAGTGTACTTCCTCCCCCAGATTTGATAGACATCTAGCATAGCAGAAAAAAATCTTTACTCTGGTGCTCACCAATCCCTACCTAGCATCTATACCATACCTGGTAAGGAGTCTTTGGCAGCTGGTGTTCCCTCTGTGTGCTAAAGGTGTGCCAGCTGTGAAAGATCCTCTGTTAAAACCAGTCACCACAAAGCAACTCTCCCACACCACTGCTCTGATTTCCCAGCTGCTGTGAAGAGTAACAGAGAGACTGCCATCTTCTTACCCACCTCTACATTCACAGACACCACAGGAGAAATCTAGATCTCTGGTTTCCAGGACCAGTCATGCCTGTAAAAATGCGATTCCTCACTGCCAGAGAGGACCATAAGGATAACCATATTGGGTCACACCAAAAGGGCGTTAACCACAAGTCCTGTCTGGTGAAACAGAGACACTAGTAAAAGCTTTTCTGATGAGAGAGCGCCAACAGAAAAAGCCAGTTACTTCTCATAATGAATGTGGTGAACACCCATATACTCAATTCTATTTCTCCTGCTTTACTAATGAGCCACAGCAGTCCAGAAGAGGAGAGAAAGAGGCAGAAATACTGAGCCTGGCAGGTTTGGGCAGCAAGGTGTAAGACTAGAGAAAAAGATATGCACCATCCAAGAGCCAGACATGGGCATGTTCCATATTTTATCCATAGCAACATATCAACACTATTCTGGAGCAGAGAAGGTGCCTCATCTTCTGTTGGCACAGAGCCTCAACTGTAGAAAAGCAATCAAGTTCCTCTTGAGCTGCTTCATCTGAATTAGCTTTGCTCTCAGAGTAATTGAAACAAGCTGAAAGAATTACTATTTCTCCATTCTTTATGCAGATTTTAAGAGGACAAATAAGCAAGGGTAGAATTAAGCAAACATTCCACTAAGATTAACCTGCTCTAACCTTGCTAAAGGATTAAGAATGGAACAATACAATGATCAAATCAGGGTCATAACTGGGGCTGAATCAGCAAGTCTAGAGGTTTAATTACTCACACTCCAAATAAATCCAGCAGCAGCCTCTCTAAATCAAAGCTCAAGTTCACACTACCTTTCATGAGAACCATCTGCTTTGGGTTTAATTCTGCATCAAGGATTAACAAAGAAGCTGCTTTGCCTCCTGATACAGTACCAAGCAGTGCTGTAACACTGGCTGCACCAGTGCTGGACTGCAGTACCCATCTCCAAGGGTCAGACAAGGGTGGCTTTTCCCCAGCTACTTCTCTTGGTGATGGTACTAAAGGTCCTTCCCTTGGCTCCTAAAGGTCACTTCTGCATCTTGTTCCCTGTGGCTGTGCAGGGAGGAGGAACGCTGAGGCTTGGAGCACTTTGGGTCTCCATCTGGGAGAGATGAGGTAGGACGGGTGCCCAGCAGGGCTGTGGCCCTCAGTGCTCTCCTTTTCGCTATTGCTACTGGTATGCCCAAGCCATTGTGATTTTTATCTCATTACCATTATTAGCTGCAGCAATTAAAAATAAAACTTGAAAATGTCAGCAACAGTTATTATGTGGAAGCATTCAATGGCTGTAAACTTATTGGAGCTCCTCATTTGTTTTCCAAAATCATATTAGACCTGCATTTTTCAAAGGCTGCACATTATTTTTAATAACATTGAAATGTTCATTTAATGTGCAGTTGATCACTAGCAGTTTGGCCCCCTGCTATAAGCTGTTACTGTCTTACTAAAAGAAAATTCAGTGTATTTTTGAAAATGTTTTTAAATATACAAGTATTTTGTGGAAAATCCTGAAATGTAGACAATAAAGCAGCATCCTTGTGGGGCTTTTTGTCTGTAAGCAGTTAAAAAAGAAACCTGGGTTACTGAAGTGGAATTTTGCACTCACCTTGCAGGTTCTGTTGAGGGAAAGGAGACTGGCTTCTTATTAGAGGGACAGCTGTGGCTGTGAAGGAACCCCAGTCTAGAAAATATCACCAATGCATCCCACAGTGAAATCCTAATCCAGAAGGCTCCCTTGCAGACCCAGACAGGGAGAAAAAACATTTAGCCTCCATATCACAATGGCAAGGCAATCAGAGAATAAATATGGCTTGTTTGACTGTTCCCTGGGTACCATAAGGTACAACTATCTCATGCTAGCAAGGATCCAACTTTTCTCTTGGAATTGTTTCCAGGTAAACTGAAAAGCAAAAGACATTGCAAGGGGGTTAGTTAAGTCGAGTTTTGCTGCTTATTCCCTTGAGTGCAGCTTTTGGGCATGTCTGGCACAGAATTAAAGTGCTAGATAAGCCTTTAAAATTATTTCACACACACACATGTACCTCTCCCCACCCCTCCACCACCACTCCCTGTAAAAACTTGAATTCAAGGCTCTATTTGAATTCCTGAAAATGTTCAGGAAAACAATATCCCAGACAGGGGATATCTACTGGTGAGCAGTACAGCATAGCAATTATGTGTCAATAAACTCAGTGCCAAACAACAATCCAGTCTTGAATCCTAGGCCTGACCTCGAAAGATGATGACAAAGATTTTCTTTTCATAGACAATATTGAATTCATATAGATATGAGAGATGTGAAATATTGACAGACATATGGGATAGGTAGAAAAGCCTTTTATTTTTAGCTCTGTTAGAGGCTGCCTTCCACCTTTGGGCAGGATATTTAACCTCTCCATATTCCTGTTTCCCATATTTAAAATGGGAAATAATGACAG